AATACAAACATTTTATGATGTGATCCAAAATTATTAATTATTAATTTTTGGTGATAATGTAGTTCCAATGATCATGTAAATTGCAGCTATTATTATGCTTAATGAGCACTAAGTTTTTGGCCAGCAATTTATTGTGATTTTTAAATTATTAGTTCCGATCAGCACGCAGGAAATTTCAGTTGATTCATAAAATCAAGTTAATATTGTATTATGTTATTGACAGTTTATTGCTACCTACCGATATTTATTGCAAACTGTAGTATTCCAAATGTTCGACAAGGGCCTTATGAAGGTAACTGTTTACCTTTTGACATTTGACATATATTTTTAAAAGAACCGTATATTATAATTGTTACCTACGTTATAGTATATCAAATCATATTAAAATAGGTAAATTTAGGCTTAAAGCTATTTATTTAGCAATGGAAAAATAGTTATTTAATTAATTTCAATAATAAATAAAGGTGATAAATATGACATCAATATATCAAACATAATATTTTATATAGTTATTGATACGTACACTTCACATGGGTAAAAAGTAGAGAAACTTTTTTCAGATAATGTAATGTTACTCAATAAAATTTTAATTTCATGTATGATATTATTCATGATAGAAGGAAAATATATTTATAACAATATGTAGGTACCTGCCTATATTAGTATTACATTATCAGAAATACTTTTCTTAAAATATTTATCTATCTAAGTACATGTTAGTAAGGGAAATTATATTTTATAATTCGCATTATTAAGGCTAAGGATGTGTTCTGAAATATAACCCAGCATATATATACTGGCCAGTGCGTTGGCGTCATATTGAGAATAGTGTTTGTGCTCGTTTACAATAATTTTTCTTCTAAAGTTATTAAAGTTTCTTAGAATAAAAAATTCCTAAAAGTCTGATGCACACACGTTAGTTTGATATACTACTGCGTCACATTTGTCTCACCAGTATGGTATGGGGGCATACCAGTACAAAACGGCGTCTATTCATGACGTCATTAGCAACCCGATACTTTTTAGTTTAAAAAGGATGAAATCATTATAACAAAAGAAAAGCAAGTACATTACTACAAGCAAAGCTGTAGAATGTGACCTTTTTCAGAATATTTTGCGCTGTTTAAAATTGTTTTTAAAATAGTTAAAATTATGAGACTGAATAAAATACCACAAATGACGCGGTAAACGCCATCTGTAGTACAATGCTACATTTAGTGGAATTCATCATTATGTTCAACAAGGTTCATATAAATTGACGGATATCTACTTTCTGAACTGAATCCACGGCGTAGCTCACCACTACGTTATAGGCATTTATATGGATCTTGTTGAACATAATGATGAATTCCACTAAATGTAGCATTGTACTACAGATGGCGTTTACAGCGTCATTTGTGGTATTTTATAAAACGCGCTGTTAAGACAGCAGGTAAAAATTGGTCTGCGTTCTGTCGAAACTGTCTGCGATGCGCTGATGAGATCCAAAAAGATCGAAATCGCGATCCGCGTCTGGCAGTTTCGACATAATACTGATCACTTCGAATTTATTTGTATGAGACTGAAGTTTTGAAGAATAAAATTACATGTTTATATTCAATTCTTGAGGTATTTTACTAAGATAGGTGAGTATTGTTGAAAAGAGAAGGAGAAGATGAGTTTGTACTTTATTTTTTTGACTCGACAATTATTCGAGTAATTTTTTCATATTATAATTACTATAAAACGAACACTTCTTCTTTACACTACGATTAAGTAAAATTTATTAATATTTTTGACCCAATTTGCAAATAAAAGATACAATAAAAATTAAGTAAAAGTCAGCGAGAGGGAACCTCATCAGTATGACTTTCTAAGATGTCTGGTGACTCATGATAGATTTCTTTAATGGATGTTACATAAGTACAACCGTGACCTAAATAAACGTTTACGTCTAGTGGTTACCTGGATTTTAGATCATGATCAATTGTATAACTTGTTAATAGAACTTGAAAGTGTGTAACGTTTGCTTAATTTATCGTAAATTTCACTTTTAGTCATTAAACCTTAAAAGGCTTGTTCCAAATACATACATACACGTATTTTTTTTCTTTTAAATTATTTGTTATTATAGCAACAGATGTTTGTGACGCGTTCTAATCCTTTAGTTACAATAAGTATGCATTGTAGTTATTAGACATAAAACTGTAGTAGGTAATAGAATCAGTGGCGTGCTGAGAACTCATATCTCCCTCCCTTCGTTTAACGATGCTTTTACATAAAAAATTTGAAGGGAGAATTGGCACCGATCTTACTTTTTATGGCGCCTGTGGGCAATTTTTTGATAGCGTTTAAAAAATCTATATTTTTTTATTAAATTTGTACATGTTTTTTTAGAGCATAGCGTTTCCAAGAGCCCCCCCCCCCTCCTTTAAAAGCCAGAACTGACATTATGACTTATATATAACCTATTATATCTTTTGAAACATACAATTTAGAAATTAATTTTATTTTGAAGTACCTACTAAATGCACGAATGTAGTACATAGGTATATACAGGGCGAGTCACTAATCCGAAATCGGTCATTCTTACACGTACAGTTCCAACTTGAGAAAACTATTTCAAATAAAAGTTCTACAGAATTAAGTGTATGATAACGTAAAAATATTTTCAAATATGGCGGACTTACCGGAAATGCACCGTAACTTGGTTATTTTAAATAGAACTCTGTACTTTTTATTGCATTTTTGAATTCTCCATTAAAGATAAATATTAGTTTAGTATTTATTGGACCTGGGTCGCACTGTTCTGGAATTATTTCACGTTTCTTCGAAAATTTGACGTTTGCAGTGTTTGGTTTTATTTTGAATATCTCAGAAACGAAATGACTTAGAGAGTTGTCGTTTTTACATTCCATTNTATGACTAATATCATTTTAATTTCATTGAGTTGTCTATTATTTTTATTTTATTTGTTTCGTGACACGCGATGTTAGATAATTCCAAGGTAAATTGTATTAAAGTAGCTTTAGAAATTACCTAATTTCATTAACCCAAAATATTTCTATGCCACTGGGGTATTTAAAGATACAACGAATAAAACAGGGTGGCTATATACATTTATACACATTCTTAACTCAAAATTAATATCTACAGAAGAGTAACAGAAATATAAATAATAAAAAAAAAAACTTTTTAGTTTTAATAAATATTATACACATAAGGTAAGACACTTAAAAGGATTCGTCGGCTATTTTCCTTAAAAGCAAAAAATATATTAAAACAGTTTAAAATAATTTTGATGTTCTGCCGAATTATACGCAGAGGGTGTGGTACCTTGAATAGATGACGTGATGGTCCGATAACTCATTGACTTCTCATCAAGTCTCATATCAAATGATATCAAACCGATAAAAATAATGGTCACTTTGTTGTGTAATGGATAATAAAGTCAACTTATGCAAACTCTTGTCCAATGGCGTGAAAAAGTTGGATAAGTAGATTAATAAAGGGAATCCACCGCCACAATGGTTTATGGCCAAGATACTCAAAGTTAGTCAACTAACATGCCATCATATAAACAAAACAATTTACAAAAAGATAAGAATTATGTTCACCAATTTACATCCATACATACTGCTACGTCGATGGTCAGACCATGGCTGTTGGCTATTGAGTGACACATTTCGGAGATCAAACTCTTTTGTATGATTAACCTATATCAAATTTAGAACGTTGACGTCCCATTGGTTATATTCAATTAAGAATTAATTATCAATTACATATAAAAGAGAGCATTCTGTATTATTTGATGTGAAATATTATTAGAAGTCAATGGAGTTATTTGATTTTGAAATCGGCCATTTGTTTTATCAATCGCTCTCTGTATTGCAGACTGATGTTGGAAAAATTACACCTACTGCGATAATTTTAAACATCAAATTCATTAGAAGTTGTTTCAATTTTCGAAAAAATTTTTGAAGTGAAACTTCTTTACGCACGGTAGGGTAAGTTCATGCGAGTTGCTATGTAACGAAATAATGCAACGGATGTCCCCTCTCTACTCGGCCACGTAGTCGAGTTCGTATTGGGGATCGCTAGAGCCGTGAGCGCGCTTCAATGCAACGTTCGTTACAAGCAACTCCGGCATTTATAGTGTAATATTTAAATTCGTAGTGTACAAATAATACCATTGAACCAATTCTTTAACCCCTATCCCGGTTTGTTTGTGTGTTTGAAGAAGTTTCACTTCAGTAACATGTTGTATAATTACACGTTGTATATTTTTTGTTTTAGGAAATTATAAGGACTAACCTGGTTGAAGTGCCCCACCCTGTATACTGATAAAATTAAAAAAAAAAGAATTATTACATTCATGCATGTATGTTGTATTATTCCACTTTTAGCCGTTTCCTAGTTAGTTTTGCATTTTTTTTCACTAAACTAGTTAGCCCAGTCCAACAAATAAAGAATTTCTTTAAAGTTTTTACAAATATCCACGCGTGAACTCTTCAGAAGTTCCAAACAAAATTTACTCAATCAATTACTCACTAAGAAAGAAGGTTTTTGAGAAGGAATTGGACGAATTTTGCAAGTCATTAATTAAGATTTTACAAAGTTAGGCAAAAATTACGAAAAAGTATTCGTAACTTTAAAACTGCTGAAAATCTGACAACATTCGTGGAGGTTATTTTGAAAGGTTTTGAAGTCCTCAATTATTATACTCACTTTGGATATTATCGGTTGGAACATCCAATGCATTCGGAGGGGTTTATTAACATGTTGCTAGAGCCCTAAATGTGACATTATTTTACTGCCACCGATAGAGATTTATTATAAGTAATCTAGAATTTCTACGAGTACAATAAGAATTAATCCTGATTTAGCATGATCCAAATGCCCAAACAAAACCTACGTTTACTATCTACATAAAATTTTATTTAAGATCACCTTCGCATTTGTTTTTTGAAGCTTTATAAGAATTATCTGACGACAGGAAATATAAAATTTTCACAACTCACCTGTTGTTATGAACTTCGATCGTGTTACGAGCAGCTTTATTATATCGACCCTCGAGTTCTATTTTTGAAATACCCCTGACGGAGAAGCCATGAGGTGGGATCTTGACGACAACCTTATTGTTATCTAATTCATGCTTTATCACATTTTTTACGGCAGCTTTTACCTGAGGACATATTGCTGGACGCAAGTAATTCTGAGTTGTTCTTAGAGGTAAATCCAATTTGAGCTCAATAACGTTTTCACCCTAATAACAACAAAATTCACAGGTTACTATAAGGTTCTTATCTCTACGTAAACTAAAATCAAACTTTGATTAATAAAAAGGAAGCAATGTAACCTTTCGAAATCAATTTTTTTGCAGGGTCTGCTTATTGCCAACAAAGTTGGTTTATATTAAAAGTAATGCTTTTATACGTAAATACGACGGGCGGAGAAAATTAGCGTTTACACTGTCTGAAACAGTTTTCTCTTAATAAAGTACCGAAAAGTATACTTGGTTAACTGTTTTAAGTGGACTTCTTTTTTGAAAAAGGTAAACAATTCTGTGATAAATACAAGAATTCTATTTAAAGAATGAGACGTATCAACCTTACAATTTCCTTGTGTACCTATTAGAGTACAGTTAAGACTGTACAGGTAAAGATGATTTTGGTAAATAAGGTTAATTTATTAAAAATTAGACTAACCCTGCGATATACGTAAGGCTAACAGCATTTTAACACTTAAATAATTTAATATACTAGTCCAGAACTACACCGTTTGTTCCAGCCATTACTTTGAAATTTTGTGGAGAAGTAACATGTTATCCGTTAGTGCATTAATTTTTTGAATTACTTGTACTCACTACAGATACCCTCAAATTAATACGGAAAAATTGTTGCCGCTGTCACTTCCTCGCCGGGAATCGAACCCGGACCCTTGGTTTTACGCATCACTATTCTACCTCTAAGCTACGAGGAGGTGACTGCCACCTCAAACGGCAGCTTACGCTACATACCCAACGGGTTGGCTATCCGTTGGTGTGTAGCTAGCTTCGGATCCTAGTGCAGACTATGCCGACACCTGCTCCTATACGTTTCACGCCCACCCTACGCAGCATGCAATGGACCATACCTGAGCGAGGGGGTTTTACCGCCAGTTTATGTATTTAGATCAACATGGTGATTCTTAACACGACTGAAGAGGACCTTGGATGGTCGTAGAACGGTCTGAGCTAGAGGGGTTCTCATCAGTAGGTCTCCTCGAGAATTCGAGACTACTCAGTCGTAACGGACGACCGGGTGTTTTTGAAAATTTCCCCTTTTCCACGAAAACAAAAAAAAAAAGATTCCTAACTCATGGTCGTCCAACGTCTGAACGAGAAACACCACTATATACGACAGCGACCTACAGTGACAGTAAACAAAGCGACCCCGCTGATAAGTAAAAGTCTTTTTTAAGGCTATGACAATGGACGTGGATATCAACGAAGAAAGTTTTATAAAGCCCAGGAAAATTACAAGGAAGGTTTCTCACTCCAAAGACACCGTGAACCCTATACCGACGTCAAATGCATTCTATATACTTCACGCCATTCCCACGAATGGACCGAAACCTCCACCTGCCGCCGTCCACTGCGGAGAACATTGGACAGACGTATCCACAAATATGAACTTCAACAAGATTGAATTCGAAAATACGACGTATACCAAGCACGGACTTGATATATAACAGCACACATGAAAGGACTACAAAAGGCTTATCGGCTTCTTCGAATAAACTGACACGATGTATTATATGTACACAACGACCGCTAACCATCATACGAAGTTTGTAATGAGAAGGATTCCTTCCGATCTTACTACTACATACGTCTCCGAATTCAAATATTCATATTGGAAAAGGTGGTGGTGGTGGAGGGGGTTTAAACCCCCTTGTATTCACAACTATCAAGATTATCAACGGTCATGACCTTGTAACTATAATATTAAATTTCTCCCTTGATATTGTCTTGAAGAAAATGATTGCAGTAATTTATTACTTTGGCATATTAGGAGGTAATAGAGCACTAGACATATAGTAAGAAAATTAAGTAAAAGTTTGGTGGTTCGAAAGGCCACCGTTTTCGAGCAAAACGTATTTAAAAGTTCAGGCAACGGACAGCCCGGCCCTGGTAGGATCACGCAAGGAAATATACAGCAACGCCGCATTCAATCAGCTGCTACTTAGCAGCATCCGTGTTGTATTTCTTTTGTATTTTTGAACTCATATATTGTATGTTATTTGTTAGATTTGATTAAGTGTGAATAACGATGTTTATGTTTACAACCAGCCTAGAGTAGTTATTTATTCCTTTAACGTTGTAGGCTTGTAATATGTTTGAATGTAGATAGTCTAAGTCATTAGAAATGGGCCAATGTGTCAGTATTATAGGTTAGTGCAGAGTATTATTGCATTGACCAAAGCGTGAGCTTCTCGGCGAACATTTTCTTAGACGATGGATGAGATGTACATAATATATAAATGACTAAAAAAAAAAAAAGGATCATTCCGGCTGTTCGTTTACGAACTTGAACTGTTTGAAACGAGTTATTATCTGAATCGACGGGAATTGACTGGGTGCCCAACCTAAATCGTGTGGGTGCCCAATCCAATTGAGTGGGTGTCCGGGCACCCGTGGACCCCCACCCCCTTGTTCCGTTCCTGTGTATATATTCTTACTCAGCACCGTCAAAAATATATTAACGTGTATTTTTATCGGTTATAAAACAGACATCAACGTTTCGCCTCTTATGTGGAGGATTTATCAAGACTAAAATATGTATAAATAATAATTGTACAAAATTTAATCATTAATTATTAAACATATTTTAGCCTTGATAAAGCCTGCCAACAAGAGACGAAACGTTGGTGTCGGTTTTATAACTAACAAAGACATTATCAGCCTCTTGTGCCTTGATTCTTTTGTACACGTTAAAACTTAGGGGAAGAAATAGCGAATTGATATAATATATTAACATTCCAATGTTATCCAGTTATCATACGAACAAAAATTGAATACACCGACTATCAACTGTCAAGGTTCGTTTTTTTTACATCACTGTTTACTCACTTAAACGACTACATAATCGGCGAGCATTATTGAAATAATTAGAATGCAAATGAAACGAAATGAAAAGTTCGTAAGATAAGCTATTTTTAGATAACAGAGTGTACGTGCAATTTTTATTCATAATTGTCGCCAATTTAATATCTAAATCGGAAACAAGACAATGGAGCATTGTTCCTACTCAATGAAACGCGTCAGTAAAGGTGAAACTTATAAGTCTGAATCTAATCATAATTCTACTGGACACTCGTGTGAGGAATAATAAATATTACTTCGTTGCTATATCTACATTAAACTGTCATTCTTCAAACAAAATTTTGCTATATTTACTTGCTCTGTTGCTCTTTGGTTAATTTGTATTAAATTTTTATAACATTTTTAATGAACAATTGTTTTCTGCTATTTTTGACGTCATAAGCCCATATTCGGCGGTAATTAATTGTTTAAACTCTAACATGCAACACCTTTTTTCAAAATAATGTGTAATAATAGTAAATAATAAAGTTTAAATAATTAATTACCGCCAAATATGGGCTTAGGACGTCAAAAACAGCATTGTTTTGGCATGAGTATTACTTTTAATACAACTTCATGAGAAATTATAAGTACCTACTCCATTAGTATTTTTCAACATATACCATAGAATTCTGCGAGTACGCTATAGTTAAAAATTTATAAATGTTACCGGAAATGTATGAAATCTGTCATTGTATACAGAGGAAATGTATATAATCCTTAAAATCGTTCGGAAATGTGTGAAATAAATTATATTAGAACCATTTCCTAGGAAATCTATACTATTTTTCCTAAATAGCAATCGGAAATGTATGTTGTGATAAATCTACCTAATAACCATACAATAACGTCACTAATACATATAGGTACATCACCAAACCTAACCTACCCAAACAATAACGTCACCAATGTATATACATCAGGCGATCGCAATAGAACCGCGTAAACACAGATAACTATGATTCTCAGTTTACTAACGTGTTTTATTCATTTTATTTACAGAAAGCATTAGTTTTATTAATTTCCTAGTACATTATCAGAATTTCATACAATTATTAGGAAATGTATACATTTCCCTGAATATACATATATGTATTAAAAAATTTTGAAACAATATTTTATATATTTCCTAAATAGCATCGGA